TCAGAATAGGGTAGATAAACGATTTCAATTTTAAAACGCCTTCAGCTTCAGAACTCCTATCAATCTATAACATGATTATTTTTTTGCTTTCTGGTACTATGGAGATAGGCGACACTCCTTTGCTATGCTCAATGCGTTATTTTCTTATGTCATTGAAATCTTTTCTTCTTTCTAATTCTTTTTTGTACTGAAAACAGGTGCAACTTGAACCATTTCACTTTGTCTCCGCGAGTATGAAAATGAGAGTATTCACATGGTGTTCACTTTGTGACTTCACAACGCTCATCAAATTTACTTTTCCGAATTGGTAAAGAGAGAGGTACATGCTAATGGATGTAAAATTAGCTGGCGAGCCTAACCAACAGTTCAAGACATGTTGCAATGGTTCGTAAATCATTTCAAGTAAGTTGCTCTTAATGTGATTATCCTCTGCACTGTTTTAAATAGGTTCTGAATGTATAATTATGTTATTGCACCATGCATTTGGTGTTAGTACTTAGCACATTTACTTTTTACACATTTTTCACGTCTTTCATAAATCCTTACATGATTTTGTGTGTTCAAAATCAACTCACAAATAATAGTACAGGACTTCTGCGCTAGCATAAAGAAAAAGTTGAAAGGAGCTATTACCCAATGAAAGGAGTAAAGGAGTTGGGGGGGGGGGAGTTTACAGAGTCAGCAAAGCAATTATATTGTAGATAAATTAAAATTTCAGTGGAAAGAATATAACTATTTCTGCTCAATGTATGAACAGGTTGTATTGTCATAAATGCATGTTGAACTGAAAGTGTAGGCAATTTTCTATCTCAATATATGATGTACTGCCATGTTGCATCGATGTGGCTCTACATCTGCGGAAAAAAATCTCATTTTTTGAGATCAAATCTGAAATCAATGATTGTTAGGTAATGTTACTTACTCTTTCTTTATTTTCTGGATAAACAACTTAAATCTTATTATAATGTAATAACTTCACTAGAGTTTTTTTTTGGTTATCAAAACACTTCACTAGAGTTTTTGCTTTTAAAAGACATGTGGTAGTGTCTGCTTATATTTGGTAATTCACTAGATTTTCCATTTGTGCATTTTTCTGACATTTGCAAATTGATTTGATCTTCTCTTTTTGCAGATTTTACTTGAATCATTGTTGGCATAAGAATGAGTTAGATTTTGCTCTCCGAACTCTGGATAATATAGGTTGTAATAGGCAACTCAGTTGCAATTCTCTTTCTACTTCTTTTCACGTAAAGAAATTCGATGTTTCATTCAATTATGTACAAGCACAAGATTTTTTTTCCTAATGCTAACTTTATGTTTAGTTTGCTTATACTATTGTATTGTTGCAATGACAAAAGGAAATCGAAACCATGCATGTTGGGCCCGTGCTAGCACGGGCCATACCCCTCTAGTATTAAAAGATGTGACATAATCCAAAAGTTCGTCTTGACTACCTACTTTAAAAGATAAAAGATTCTCTATCAACTTCTATTACATATTTTTAGAGTAATTTCCTTGGATAGTCACCCATGTTTGGGAAATTACCTGGAAATATCACTTATGTTTGTTTTAGGATCACAATATCGATTTTCTTCTGACAAAAATTGACGCCGTTCCGTTAAAAGAATAAAAATCGCTGCATTTGGCAGCGATTTTCTCCAAAAAAAATCATTATTTCTTTAAAATCGCTGCTATAGCAACGTTTTTATAAAAAAAAAAAATTAAAAGTGAAATAGCTGCTATAGCAACGATTTTTTGTTAAGGAATTAAAAAAAACACATAAAGAACAAATTTTAAATTACATAAATTTCCGGCGACAGCCATTTAAAAAAAAACAAGTTTTTTAAAGAAAAAATCGTTGCTGAAGCAGCGATTTTCAGTTTTAATTTTTTTTTTGAATTTTCATTTAAATCGCTGAAAGGGTAAAGATTTAAAAAAAAAAAGCTTTTTATGAAAATTGCCGGCTTCAGTTTTAATTTTAATTAAATTCTCTGCAAGGGTAGGATTATTTTTAAAAAAAAATATAATTTCTTAAACAAAATCGCTGCTATATAGCAGCGATTTAACTTCAAAACTTTTTTTTTTAATTTCTTAAACAAAATGCTTTTAATTTTTTTTATATAAAAACACTGTTATAGTAGCGATTTTAAAGAAAAAATATTTTTTTGAGAAAATCGGCATTGATTTTTATTTCTTTTAGCGGAGTGACGTCAATTTTTGTCAGAACAAAATCGCTCCTGACGGAGCGATTTTGCCCTTTTGATTAATTTTTTTTTGATGTGCCGTTTTTGTTTTTTAAAGAAAAAAAGTTGCACTTTTGGCTCCGGAGTCAACAAAAAGGTGTCATTGCCCATTAGTGCCCATATAAAAACATTATCTCGCTTGAAAAATCGGAGGAAGCCACATATTTTCTTGAAGAATCGGAGGAGCTCATATTTGAATTTGCCGCCTAATCCCCTAGAACTAGGGTAGAAATTTTTGGGCTATGTAATTTTTTTTTACTTGGTAATATGAGTTATCTAAAAAAAATTTAAAAAAATGTTAATAATGAAAAAGGAATAATGTGACATGGCATCCTATTAGGAGAGAGATAATGTTTTTTTTGTGTAAGTATATTTTGAGGAAAAAAGGTAAAGTTGGGTGATATTGTGATCCTAAAACAAACATAAGTGATATTCCAAGGTAATTTCCCAAACATGGGTGACTATCCAGGGAAATTACTCCATATTTTTACTACAATATATAAAGTAGGAGCGGGCATGATCGAAACATTTGATTTGGTAATTTCAAATTTTAATTTTTAAAAATATTACATTAGGTCTATAACAATTTTTTCCAATATGGTTTTCAATTTCAGTATTTTGTAGTATTGTAAATTGATAATCATAATTTATTCATATTTGACTTATATATAACCATACAATAGAAATCATGACTTTGATTTTTTAAGAAATATCTCAATTATATCATATTAATTGCACCTTAAACATATAGAAACATTCAAAAGATCGTACAAATATTTCTCATCGTTTAGATCAATTTCACACACAAAAAATCAATCAAAATAGAATAGTCAATGTTTTAATATCTAAACAATTAATTTTATACTAATACTAATGAATAAAAATATGTGAGTATTAGAATAATATATGTAAACTGTATTGTAATTACATACTTTTGTCACTGTATTAAGTGTCTTTTCTATAACACCATATTTGGCCAAAGGATTTAATACCTTCTGATGTTTGAAGTAGCCTGCATGCACCACCATCAATTATTTCGTTGGACATTCACTACAATTTAGAGCTTAAATATTTTTTAACGTTACGATGGCCACTATTTTTACTGGGATTGAACTTTGTACATCTTTATGCAATCAAATTTTTTGAATCTACTCCAACTAATTCAATGCTTTATGGCATCTAGGGTTGTACATGACCGGGTTGGTTCGGGTTTTTCAAATATCAAACCAAACCATTTGTGTAAAAAAATTTAAATTTATAAACCAAATCAAACTAATAAAATTCAGATTTTTTCGGGTTTTTCAACCTCGGGTTGGTTCAGGTTTTTCAAATACCAAACCAAATCATTGTGTCGAATTTTTTAAATATATAAATCAAACCAAACTAATAAACCTCGGATTTTTTTTTTCAGATTTTGGATTTTTTCGGTAAAGTTTGCATACAAACATATAATTAACTTGTGCTTCAAATATTTCTTTAGTCCAACCAAAATACAATTATTTAAGGTGTTTCTTAAGAAAATAACAAAAAATATGAGATGAGTACTGATGACACTAAATTTAATAAAAAATAATAATGACATCATCATATAAAATAAATATTGCAAAGTCATAATGAAAATTATCATAATTTAAAAGTACTAAATCATGCTAAAATAAGTTTAATAAGTATTAGTTACATTACTAAATATTTAAGGAAAATTAAAATTAGATTATGTATTTTAAATGTCTAAACCAATATAAAACTAAAGAACAAATATTCAATATTATTGTCATTCTTAGTGTTGAATTAATTTTCTTTTTGCATTAGTATTAATTTGATTTTGATTTAAGTTTTATTATAATTATCAACATCTATGAACTATAATCTTTATTGGACCATTTCGAATTCTAAGTTTTAAACTTGAAATAATATATTAAAAGATAAAAACTATGAAATAGTATAAGAAATATTTTAAAGTTATATCAAAGTAATATTTTATGTATAAAATAAATTTTAAAATTACATATATAATATCGGGTTGATTTGGTCTCGAGTTGGTTTTTTTAGTTAAAACCAAGCCAACCCAAATATAGTCGGATTTTTTTTTTCAATACCAAACCACTAATAGTTTTTTTTTTTTTATTTGACTCAATTTGCGGTTTGATTCGATTTTGTACACTGCATCATTCAAAGACAAAACAGGACCAAGTCCCACCATAGTTTCAATAATTCACAAGTTTCAGGTTTTTGTTTAATTTTTTAGGCTCCCACCATGCTTGTAACTTGTCCATTTGCTATATTCATTCAATTTGTTTTCCTGTCTTGAACAACACTGACGGATCCAAAAAATTTACTAAAGGAGTTCGAAAAATAAAAGCATAGTGCATGAAGTGCACTTTAAATCTCAAGTTGAATTTTGAATTCCCTAATACACTAAGCCAAACTTTATTTTTCTCATTTGTGTTCAAGAGATTTAAAATATATATATGTACGTATAATTTTTTTTTTAAAATTATCATATATTTATATATAGGGTTACTAAATTGATTCGAATGAATATCCTGACAACACCTAGATCTACCCCAGTTGAACAACCTATGGTCCACAATTGTAGAGAACATGACAGAACCCACAAATACCCCTCACATGCATGTTCTCCTGATCATCTTATCCCTCAATTAATTTTTATCTCTCAAAAATTTAATTTCCATATACACACTACATTCAAAGCACCTGCCCAATGTGTGCTTGTTTGCACCAATACATCTCTCACATTTATTTATAACTCCATCTTATATACTGACCTTTTCAATGAACACACACACACACACAACAACAAAGCCAAAATTGTTAGAAAATGGTGAATTACAAGGGGAAAAAAATGTTGAAGCACCAAAGGAACAGAGTTAGCTTTTCAGCTAACTTGCCTGAAGATGTTCACGGGGCGTTCACGGATAGTACATGTGTTGTGAAATACTCGATGGATCCATTGACAGATATAAGAGAATCTATAAAAGAGATGGTGAAAAATGTTGGCATTAAAGATTGGAAAGAGATGGAGGAATTGGTGTATTGTTACATTTTTCTTAACTCTGAAGAGGTGCATTGTTTTATAAAAGAGGCTTTTCTTAGTTTATGCTCTTAGCTTCTTACTAGAGGCTGAAAAAAATGCATAAACCAAGTAACTTTTCTTATATATATGTTTTATTATATGCTCTTCATTTTTATGTTGTTTATTTTATAGACAATGTAAACGGATGTTTACACGATTAGTGCAATTTAAAGCGTTGTAAGAGGTGTTATTATATATGTACACCTCATTTTAGTAGTTTTATGTTATTTTGTTCATCTTGACTTGATCTATTTTAATTTGATGAGTATTTTTTTATTGTGTTATTCATCTGTTTATTTATTAAGCTGACTCATTTTAACGTGTTTAAATTCAGCTGAACTCACCAATTTAACTCCCCTAATTTTTACTCTAACGTCTTGTGTTTTTACGTTTTCTTTTTATTTTTATAAAAAGTTGAATAGAAACGTAGTGGAGAAAAGAAGACAAAAGTATTGTTGTACGTACATAGTTACATACCATAAGCATAAGCTACGAGCTCGAGGGAATGGTTGCAAAATGATGCCTTAAACTCACCCATTCAAGTTCAAGGAATCACTCCAATAATAATTAGAGATTTCGAATTTATATTTTAGAATATTTTTAAAAAATATGTAGTAAGTAGCTTTTTTAATATGATAAACTTTGTTAGAAACCTATGGAGTTTTTGTATTCAAATTTGGATTGAATGATTTATTAATTTTTGACCAAGATAAATTTATAACAAGACCTACTATAACCAATTTAAAATAAAGAACCGAGATATTCCCTTTAATTAATTTTGTTAATGTATTTGAAACGAGAAAGGTTTTTATTTTTTTTTCCCGAAAATTTATGTTCCTGCTATTCCGAAAATACCAATCTCTTGAAGAACAAGATACAAGACACAGTATAATATAACTTGAGAAAGAAACTTCGTTTTCTTGCTATTTCCTCTACTCCAATTATCCAAAATTCACCTATTTTTCACAAAAATCCAGTTTTCAATCGAATACGAATATGAACATCGGAAGATCAAGCTCTATGAACAAGCTTTGGCTGCTAAATCACCACCTTCATTCACGAACAATATCCACAACAACTTCTTCTCTCGTTACGAAGCAAACCTCCCATCAGCTCCCGTCACGTCACCTATCCCCTTCCCTTACTTCCACTACCGTCCGCCATTTTTTCTTTCGTTCTCAAGATCCATATGCCAAGTAAATTTTCCAGTATAATTGTGTTTTTTTTTTTCAAAGTTTGTAGTGTGTGATTTTGCTTTTTTGTGTTGTGATGAAGGTATCAAGTTCGGGTGCCGATGAATTTGGGAATTCGTATAGTGCCTGAGAAAAAGGCGTATGTAGTTGAACGATTTGGGAAATATGTGAAAACATTGACTCCGGGAATTCACTTTTTGATCCCTTTTGTTGATCGAATTGCGTATGCCCATTCTCTTAAGGAAGAGACTCTTCCGATACCTAACCAGACTGCCATTACTAGAGACAATGTTAGCATTTCGATTGATGGTGTTCTCTATATCAAGGTTTAATCACTTCTTATACTTTTGCGCAAATTTCCCATTGAATTTTTAAAAATGCAGAGATTGTTTTGCGTAAATTGTAGACTGTGGATCCAAAATTGGCGTCATATGGAGTTGAGAATCCATTGTATGCGGTAATTCAACTAGCACAGACAACTATGCGTAGTGAGCTTGGCAAGATCTCACTTGATAAAACCTTTGAGGAAAGGGACACTCTGAATGACAAAATAGTGGTAAGTTTTTCATAGAATTTTATGATCAGAAAATAATAGGGTTGGCCTTTTGCACTTTCACTTCATCATTATGTGAAGCTCAAAAAGAGTATAATTATGATTATAACCACATGTTAGTTGTTTTAAGTCTTATTATTGATTGTTTTAGCTCTGCACTTTCCTTGCAGCTGGCCATTAATGATGCTGCAAAAGACTGGGGACTGAAATGTCTTCGTTATGAAATAAGTATGTGGCTGTTCTACTGATTCCTTCATTGTTACAAAAGCAATTATGGTTCTTCATTGATGATTATGTATGTTGCCTCTTCAGGGGATATAACTCCTCCTCGTGGGGTTAGAGCAGCTATGGAGATGCAAGCTGAAGCGGAACGTAAAAAAAGAGCTCAAATTCTTGAGTCAGAAGGTATCAGTTCCTCTCCCTGATTTGAGCAATGTGAAGTAATTCGATGTGCCATATGTATGACATTTTTCTATATTAAACTTGATGTGTATTGTCACCTACCTCACCCTGATTTGAGCAATGTGAAGTAATTAGATGTGTCATATGTATGACATTTTTCTGTATTAAACTTGATGTGTATTGTCACCTAAAATAGGGGAGAGGCAGGCAAATATAAACATTGCCGATGGAAGGAAGAGTTCAGTGATCCTTGACTCAGAAGCTGCAAAGATGGACCAGGTCAACAGAGCACAAGGTTGGTAAAGTTGTTGCCAAGTGTGTTATCTCAAACTTGTTTTATAGATTCCCTCATCCATACTATCCGATGAATCAGGTGAAGCTGAAGCCATTCTCTCTAAAGCACAAGCTACGGCAAAAGGAATTGCTTTGGTGTCACAAACCCTTAAAGAGCATGGAGGTGCAGAGGTGAGATCCCTAAATTCATGCCCGCGTCTTCTTTACCATGACATTGTAACGAAATTTTGGAGAAAGATATGGTTGATTAATTCAACAACTACTACATTTGATTGCGTCAATGCCAATCTGCATTCTCACTCACGACTCTTTCACTACTGGATATTGTAGGCAGCAAGCTTGAGGATTGCAGAGCAGTATGTCCAAGCCTTCAGTAACATTGCAAAGGAGGTGAAGCATAATAGATACCTTCTAATTTAGTCCATCGTCATGCATTACTGATTTGCTAATCATTTTTGTTTTCTGTGTTTCACTTTATAATTTTATAGGGCACGACATTGTTACTTCCTACAAGTGTTTCTGATCCTGCCAGCATGGTGGCTCAAGCTCTTCACATATACAAAAACATAACGAGCAAGAACGCTGGCATTGAGCTTCCAGAAGCCTCTCAAACTAAGTTGAAACAGAAGTGAATCGTCTGAAGTAATCAACAATGACCGCTCTATTACTGATGAAGATGACAAGAAGGATCACTAAGCGCTTTGTCTGACTCGTCTATAGAGTAGCTTTACTTTTTAATTAGCCATTATGGATTATCTAGCTTTATATTCATGTATAGTCTAAGTAGATCTGGTCAATGATAGGATTCCTATTCTTTATTATGGACTTACTTCCACCATTTGTTCGGACTATTGTGTTACTAAGAATGGATGCAAAATTACATGATTTTGAGAACATACGAGTAACTTCATGCAAGCTCTATAAGCTTTTGACATCTGATTTCAGCATTTTATACTTCAGAAAATATACTAAGCAAAATATCATCAGAGGAAACGTAAGAAGCAAACCAATCTTCTCAATTTAAGCCTATGAAAACGAATTAATCCTCTGATTTATCCTTCAAGTGTATTTACTCTCGTTATTAAGTAGAAAATACTTGCACCATTTCAATAAGTTGGTAGGCATAAGAGTATATCTTAATAGTTTTAGAACAAAACAAATAAACTCCACCATCCCAAGCCCACCCTGAAAAGCACAAAGGGAGATGACCACCAGACTCCTGACTCCTATCCTCCTGCAAAATAATTGAGTTTGAAGATCTTAATCTCCCTAACAGTAGCCTTATATAGGTGCAAAGATTATCGTAAATCCTTGTTTAACTTTTAATCTCCAAAAGCAATAACTACAATGCATAGAAATATCTGATCAAATACTTCTCTAGCCGCAAAGCACATAAAACAGAATACACTTCATCCAAAAAGGAGAAAAAAAAAACGAGATGAATTTAATGCAAGCTGAAAACAATTGAGAAAATGGTTTATGTGAGATTGGTTGGGTTTGATCCATTGCTCAACCGATCTAGGCTTGAGCATACTTTTGACATATTGAGTCGTGACTCTTTCGTTAACTCAAACTGTTTTTGCCAGCCCAATTTAATCAATGTACCCATTAGACACCTCTAGAAGATTCTAATTCATGGAAATTCCTCCCAACATGATTTCTTGAAGTCTACCAAGGGAGCAGTTACTGATTTCCCTCTGAAGTTGTAGTAAGAAAACTAACTGATAACTAACTAAAGGGTTTTTCTTTAAAGTCTAGCAAGGGAGCCTTTGTTGCTTTCGCTCTGAAGTTATAGTACGAACTAGCGGATAACAATCTAAAAGAGGGATATAATGATGCTACTCATTGACATGTCCAACATCAATTTTAGATTCAGAATAAAGATCTCTGCTTTATCAAATTTCTCAAGTAATCAAACTCTACCTACTTTACAACGTTTACTCTTGCTTTCAGCACAATCCATACATTGAAGCTCTAAACATAATCATTTATGCGATGAAATAAAGACAATTAGGCTATAAATTAATGAAGACCAAGATACAAAATATCAGAATCTCCAAGAATTTTATTGATCGCAACAATAAACAATAACAAATCTGAAACCAACCGTGGATTTTGTTCGTATATACAGAAAATACAAGCGTATATCCAGTAAAATGGATGTTAAAATCACACTATCAGATCTAACCTCTACCACATAATGAACAAATCAACTTGACAGAAACGGCAAAGCAACAAAGAAGACATGATCAAGCTAAAGAAGCCCAAATATTAAAGAAATACCAAGAAATATCAACCAAACAATATGAAACAATAGGAGAGCCTGACCCGGAACCGCAGCGGACCCTCCATTTCCCACACTGCAAGGTCCTAACTTGGCAACACGAACACCAGCACAGTGAGCATCGGGACAACCACACCAGTAGGTGACTCCATCGACACCGCAAACCGGGTCGGGTCGGAAGCAATTGATGGGGCAAGAATCGGTCGGAAATGGAGTTCTAGGACATTTATCTTCGTCGTCTTGATGGGAAGGTAGTGGATTTAGACCGTTTAAACAGACAGTAATGGACAAAAAGATGACAGCAAATAGCAGAATTTGGAGATGAAATTGGGATTTTCTCAACTCTGATTTCATTGGTAAAGCTCCTCTAGAGATTAAAGAAGCTCGATTTCACCAAAATTGATGATACAGATAACCCTAATTGAGGAAAATGTAAACCCTAGAAAGAATTCAAAATTGGGGGTTTTATGCTGTCTAAAAAGGAGGAGAAATTTCTTCTTTTTATCTTCCTTGTAAGACTCTGTCCAACTGCAGACAAATAATGAGAAATATTCAAAGTACTTTTCCGTGTGGAACTCCGGAAATATGTTTGATCATAAAATTTTGTAATTCAAAAACAAAACATTTAAAACAATTTCAATTCATGTGTATGGTTAACACAACTTAAATTTTTAAATTTCACGATAAGACATGATTAAATACATGCTTAATAGTTTCATTTTAGAAAATTAAAATAATAAGCTATTATTGTTGAAATTATTTAGGTGGGTCCAACCCACATGGAATTTTAGCAATTTACTTTTGTTGTTTTCATACGCTAGCTTTGGTGCATTTGAATTAGTTTAGTTTTAAGCATTGACAGACTTGTCTAGGCTGGTATGAACAATACATGTGAGTTTTCACATTAATGGAATTCTGATATTTGAGGTTCAAATTTGATTCTTTATAGTTTTTACCACTTTAAGGCAATTTCTCATGTTATATTAAATTTTGTTTATTAGGTTTTTTTTTTAAAAAAAAAAACACATGGCCAATCACAATTCACAAGTAAGAACCCAATCATTTTAGTCCATGTTCAATGGAACGGCATTACTCTCAAGTCTCGATCCATAAAATAATACTTTTGATATTCGTGCTTAGGTTAATATTAATGTTTTTCTAAATATATTTGATGGTAATGGAGTATATATTAGCATGAATCTGCTGGATAAAAACAAACAAATTACGATCTCTAATTTACAAATACGTAATGCTTCATTTAGTTATGTCTTATTATTAATATACAAAGGTCTTGTGAATGAACTTTAATCATAAAAGATATAGTACGGATGGGTCAATTATAAAATTTATACAACGTACAATTTGGAAAAATAAAATAAAATAGAATAATATTTTTATAAATATAAGTACAATATGTAAGATACTCCTTTTAACATCTATATGAATTATAAAGAAAAAAAGCCACAGCTAGCCAAAAGAAACTTTTTCTATTTTGTTTATATTTTTTTTTGGTTTAAAGATGGACCATTGCTACGTTTAAAAAAAATAACGCTTCCGTAATAATAAAAATGAAAAATTGCTACGTACTATTCAATATTTCAGAACTAATAACAACTTGAAAAGAGAGAAAATATAAGGAAGCACATTTAAACATGAATGAATATTTGCATGTGACATGACTATTTATTGTGGCTTGCTAATTAATTAGTATTCTTTTTCTTTTTCCTTTTCCACCAACTTAATGAAAAATAAGGAAATAAAAAGAAGTTAAATTAATAGAGAGAGTGTGACATGACTATAGTGCCACCACCTACGTATAATTGGGGGTTATATGATAAATTTTAACCAAAACAAGTGAAAAACTAGTAAATTATTTAATTACATACAATAACATTTGGGTAAAAACTTATCCGAATGCTTACGCGGAACAAATAAATACTAGACATGTATCTTTCATATATCATATACGCATTGACCACTTAATTCATAGTAATTAAGTTGTATGTATATGTTCTCACCCTAATTTTCAAATACCAAGGTTACCATTTGAAAGACCTTATTGATGCAATTAGACAAATTAAATTTGAGGTGATCGACACTTATTTCTATGCAACACGAATCTAAATTAGTTTCAACTGATTTCGAACATCAAATGTTTTTTTTTTCTTAAAATGTCTACCAACCGTATTTTGTAACGAACTCTTTAAAACAATGGAGGCCTCCACTTTGCCTAACAATCAGCTTGCCCTTACAAACATGTCAACATGTAATTGACGATAGAAAAAAGGCTTCTTTCTATGGTGTCCACAGCAACAAATCAGGAGGCCTATCTATAAAACCTTCATTTTGTCCTTTTTCAAAAATCAGCCTCAAAAATAAAGTTTACTAGCCTTACAGCTTTGATTCCTCAATATTAATATTACTCTCTCAGTTCGATTTCCCTTCCATCTCGCTCGCTCGCTCACCTCTAACAAATATGGGAGCCTGTGCGAGCAGACCTAAGGATTTGGACAGGGACTTGGCCCCTGCCCCTGTTCCCGTTGAGGAATCTGTCACCCCTAAGGCTGACGCTGTTCCTCAGGTATGCTTTTCATATTACTCTCATTATTATTAATTCCCTTGCATATTACTAAAGTTTGTATCGACAAATGCACCGACTATATTTGGATTCAGAATTTAAATGTAATGAGTTAGGAAAGGGTGCAATATAATACTCTCTATGTTTTAATTTATTTGTCTTACTTTTCTTTTTATAGTTCTGTTATAATTTTAGATGCTTCTTTTCTATTTAGATAACTCTTTTATTTCAACATTCCACGTAACATGCTTAAAATCACAAGATTAAAAGATATTTTAGTACATTCTCCATGTCTTTAGTTTAAGATCATGAGATTCAAAATCAGACAAACAAATTGAAATGAAGGGAGTAAATAAATATACACGTTCTTTTTCCTTTTTTGTTTTTTGAAACATAATAAGAATTATCATCGTGAGATCAGGATATTAGGGGTTCAAGTCATGAAAATAGCACTCTATAGAAATACAATGTATACAACTACATACAATAGACCCAATATGGTTAATCCATATCACGAGCTAAGTGCATTGAGTTGCCCTTATATACATGATTGAGGCAAAAGGGTTGATTTCTGGTCTATCTAGGTGTTTGACAATTTTTTGGCATGCACAATCTTTAAGTATTATTAAATCCTTTATCATGTTCCAAAATCATATATATTAAAATATTCTTGAAACATCAATGTATTTTATGAAATTAGGAGAAAAAGGATGGAGAGGAAACAAAGAAGGAAGAGCCTTTGATTGATGTGTCAACAGAGGTTACCAAAATTGAGGAAGTAAGCACAGAAACAAAGGCTGTTGTTGAAGCAGAAAAGGAAACAGCAGAGGAAGTCAAAGTTGAGGCTGTGAAAGAAGAGCCCAAAGAGGAGCAGCCAGCTGAGGAAAACAAAGAGGCTGAAACTGTTGCCCAGTAAATAATAATACTCTACTTATCAAGTAAATAATGTATAAATAAATAATGGGCTTGAGATTTATGTTCAATCATATCTTTAGGCTTAATTAGTTGATTGATTTGTTGAGGCTCCTCTACTTTCATCAAACAACAATAGTAACAACAAAATTCTTGTATTTCTAATTCGTCTTTTCAAATATTCAAAGGATTCTACATTCTATTGTCAGAAATACTTCTATCTGCATAACTCGCGAACAAGGGTACTCCCTATGTCTCTAATTACTTGTCCACTTTTTCTTTTATAGTTGTCCCTAATTACTTGTCCATTTTGACAAATCAAGAAATGTACAACTTTTTTTACCTATTATATCCTCAATTAAATGACTAATTACTTTGAAAAATGTAGAACTTTTCATTCACTTCATAATTAATAGGAATAAAATGGTAAAGTCACTATGTCATTAATTGTTTTCTTAATAGGTGTGTCAATTCAAAAGTGGACAAGTAATTAGGGACAGAGGGAGTAATATCTAGGTAGCCTTTTCCATATGGTCATACCTTTTTACACACAAAACGAAATTGATTCACTTCTAAGATTCTATATGTTAGACTCTTTTATTCTCTTCTTAATATTTGTTTCAATGGAGGATGCATCCTTAAAGTTACCAAAGAAAGGGATTGCTTCTTACTTAGGCTATCCTAGATCCAAGAAATGCTAAACCCAAATGTGACATTTTGCGGCTACTGAATTTGGCAAATTAAAGCAACTTCACACTTTGGATTTTGTATCCAATATGTTCAAATTCCTTTTTTTTGTTAAATAATTCGACATACAAATATGTTACGATGAGTTATTTTTTCCTATATTGGACCCTCTGCCTGCCCCTATTCTACTTCCTACAAGGACAGGACATAGCCAAATACTAAGAAAAAGGCGATAATAATATGCTTATGAACATAATTTCCAGTAAAAAGATTTCATTTTCATTGCTTTTGTGCGCGTTCTTTTCTTACTCTTTTGCTTACAATTTCATTATTAGTAATAACTGCCCTTTTACAATATGGCCTGGTACACTGGCTGGTGCGGGAACTCCTCCACTTCCTGCGACTGGTTTTCGATTAGATGCAGGGCAAAGCATCACAATTCCAAGTGTAGCTGGATGGTCAGGGAGAATTTGGGCTAGAACTGGCTGCACTTTTGATGCATCAGGTATTGGCTCGTGTCAAACAGGTGATTGTGGTGGGAAGCTTGAATGTAGTGGGCTTGGTGCCACGCCACCTGCCTCCCTCTTCGAGATAACTCTTGGTGTGGGAGACAACAAAGATTTCTATGATGTTAGTATTGTTGATGGCTATAATTTACCAATGGTTGCTGTCCCTCAAGGCGTCAACGGAGGATGCAATGCCACTGGCTGCCTCTCCAATCTTAACATGGGTATTTTCTCACATTAGTTCCTCTAAATTAGTAATTAAAAAAAGTTCTGTTATATTAGCTCTAAATCGCAAAGTTGAGGGATATATCAAACCCTTTTCCCTACAATAAGTAGACTGAACATGATATTAGTGTAGCCAAGACTAAAATATTAGTACTACAAGATTGAGTCACTTTTTTAGAAGAACAATTTCATTTTTTTAACAAAATGGAACAGGTTGTCCTAAAGAACTTCAAGTGATGGGTGGATATGGAGGAGAAGGGAATGTGGTGGCTTGCAAGAGTGCATGTGAGGCTTTTGGTTTAGACCAATATTGCTGTGCAGGACAGTTTGCAAATCCAACAACTTGTCAACCATCTTTTTACTCTACTATCTTTAAGAATGCTTGTCCAAGGGCTTATAGCTATGCATTTGATGATGGCACTAGCACTTTTACCTGCAAAGCTAATGACTATGCAATCATCTTTTGTCCAATGAATGGGTACTCTCTCAAAACTTTCTTCATCTTAAATATTCCGTCCGTCCCAATTTATGTGAAAATCTTTTCTTTTAGTCAGTCCCCAAAAAAATGACGTAGCTTCATGTTTAGTCAAACAATCACATAAATTGGATTTTGAAACAGGGTAAAGAGGCCTAATGAAGAAGCATCAACAACTCAAGCAACTCGGCCTATTGAAGAGAGTAAAACTGGAAAGTTTGCAGGATCTATGGCGTCATCTTCAAACATTATTCTCCTTCCTTTTCCAATGCTAATTCATATGCTGCTAATTTCCAGCTTATATCTGTAAGCATCTATCATATTAATAGCACGCGGCCGCTTGAATGGTTCAGCAGAACAACAAGAGGACACATTCATAATTCAATTGGGTGCTGTGTAAGAAGAGTAGAGAGGAATATTTGGTACCTCAAGAAAAGGTTGTGTATCCATTGAAAAATTTAGAGCCAAACAATACCAGGCCACCTTTGCTTTTTAAAAAAATACAAGTAGTTCTTGCTTTTAGACACAATGCATCTTGTTTATTTTGAAGTGCCGGTTTAATCACCGGTTCTTATTTTCAAGTGTCGGTTTAAGATAATTTTTTTTTTTACGTATCAAATACAAGAAAATAAATATATTATCCACTTATTTTTTTGAAAAATTATTTTCCTGAAAATCATTTCCCTCAATGAGTACACCACAGCAAATTAATCTCAAATTGCATGAATCTAAACCTTAAGTGGACCATAAATAAGTATGATTCGGTATAAAGACAACTATTTTTTTAATAAAAAAGAGAGAAGTATTGAAAACATGACTCCTGAGATTGGCACAAATTATTAGTTTCGCCTTTGAAATGTTGACAGCCTTAAAAACACTCTCTACTCGACTAACTAAATTTAGATACATCCACGATCTGCCACATGACATAACAAGCGGCGTCAAACTCTTGTAGGAGCATAGGGCTCTTAATAAAAAGTCGAGAGAAGTGTTGAAAACTCCCCCAAACTTGACGAGAATTTAGGGGTGTATTTCACTCATATTGCAAGGTCGAGGGTGTATTTAAGTTTAGTTAGTCAAGTAAAGGGGTGTTTTTAAGACTGACAATATTTCGAAAATAAAACTGATAATGTAAGTCAAATTTAGAAATGTTTTCAACACTTCTCTCGAGAAAAAATGTGGAGATTGTTTCAATTGATAGTGCTAAATTTCGTTGTAACATTTTCAAGAAGTCTTAGTCTTCTTTTATTATGAGAAGTATAGTTTAATACACATATTTTATCATAATATCTAAAATAAATAATTAATATCAAGAATAAATTTTTAATATAGCGAATGAATAGTGTAAAAGTTGTACCAATACAAACTGACTCCACATTATGCATAAGTTAACAATAGAGTTGTCAATATGGGTTGGTCCATCCAATCTGGGCTAAATCATACAAGCTTTGAAATTTTAGGGGTCAAGTCGGGCAAGCCCATTTTTTGATGTGGGCCAGATAAATGACCGGCCCAGCCCATAAGTATCGGGCCATGAGCTTTGCCGGGCCAACCCACTTTTCTTAGAAGTATATTTTTTATAATTTTTTACACTAAATTATAATTTAAAAATATTATCTCCATAGCTGCTCTAACCCCACGAGGAGGAGTTATATCCCCTGAAGAGGAAATATGCATATTCATCAATGAAGAACCATAATTGCTTTTGTAACAATGAAGGAATCAGTACAACAGGCCACATACTTATTTCATAACGAAGACATTTCAGTCCCCAGTTTTTTACAATATCATTAATGGCCAGCTGCAAGGAAAGTGTAGAGCTAAAACAATCAATATCAAGACCTAAAACAACTAACATGTGGTTATAATCATAATTATGCTCCTTTTGAGTTTCACATAATGATGAAGTGAAAGTGCAAAAGGCTAACCCTATTATTTTTTTATCATAAAATTCTATTAAAAAAACTTACCACTATTTTGTCATTCAAAGTGTCCCTTTCCTCAAAATTTTTATCAAGTCAGATCTTGCCAAGCTCACTACGCATAGTTGTCTGTGCTAGTTGAATTACCGCATACAATGGATTCTCAACTCCATATGATGTCAATTTTGGATCCACAGTCTACAATTTACGCAAAACAATCTCTGCATTTTTAAAATTCAAGAAAATTCACGCAAAAGTATAAAAGTACTAATAGAGATTAAACCTTGATATAGAGAACACCATCAATCGAAATGCTAACATTGTCTCTAGTAATGGCAGCCTGGTTAGGTATCGGAAGAGTTTCTTCCTTGAGCGAATGGGCATACGCAATTCGATTAACAAAAGAGATCAAAAAGTGAATTTCCGGAGTCAATGTTTTCACATATTTTTTCAAAACGTTCAACTACATACGCTTTTTTTTCAGGCACTATACGAATTCCCAAATTCATCGGCACCCGAACGTGATACCTTCATCACAACACAAAAATATTCCATAAGCTACGACCTATGTAGTGATTCCCTAGAAATTTTAGGAAATTTTTATTTTATGTAGTACATATTTTATAAACATAATTTGTATTTAAATTGTAATATTTCAAATTTTTAAAAATATTTTGAGTTTAGACTCTTATTATTTTTAATACTTTATTTTATTTTTATTTTTTGATTAATTTTTAGTTGGTCCCCGAGCCGACTCTATTCATATTTTTCAAGCCCTACAAATTAGCAAGCTTATTCAGGCCGGGCTAAAAAACTCTTTTCTTAAATGAGCTTCAAAAATCGTAGTCCAGCCCGATCAAATTACAGGTTAGACTAGGCCGGTCCATTAGGTCTAGCCCAAATTGACAGCTCGAGCTAATAATAATGTGTGCGACATTGGACACGTAAATAGTGTGAAAATGGAGCCCATGCTCTCACCGCAATTTCCACGACTCTTATACTATTCATATTCAAGAATTATTTTTTAAAATTATATTTAATTTTTAAGAAATATCTAATAAATAAAATTAATTTAATAAATTATATTTTGAATTTATTGTTTTTCTTCATAAACGTAAAATAAATTAAAATGACATGTTTGGTTGATAGCTTTAGGAGTAAAGGTTCAATTTCTCATGATACTTTGTGCTGAAATAAGAACAATGATATAGATGGGGAAGATGAAATTGGCAGGATTTTTAAACTAAGAAGAAAAGCAGGGGCGGCTCAATGGCATCCGTCTTAGGCCCCAAATTTGAGAGCCCATTTTTTAGTAATAATAGAAGTACTATAAGTATTTTTTTTTAAAAATAAATTATATTTTATCTTTCTTTTAGTTTGTTTCGAAACATTAAAAAATATTTCTTTCTTTTTTTGTCAATTTTTAAATTTAACTTCCACATGGTTTAAGACCACAAGATTAAAAAATATTTTGGTATATTATATAAATATCTTTAGTTTAAGACCATAAAAAAAAAAAAAACTTTTTCATTAAAAAGAAAGAAATAACTTGGGGGACATTGTATAATATGCAGTAACTTTTCTAATATGATAAAACTTTGTTAGAAACCTATCGAGTTTTTGTATTAAAACTGCATCTTGAAGAACAAGACACAATATAGTATATAACTTGAGCAAAGGGCTTCGTTTTCTTGCTATTTACTCTACTTCATTCATCCCAAATTCACGATTATCAATTGGAAGATCAAGCTCTATGAACAAGCTTCGGATGCTAAATTACCATCTTCATTCACTCCATATCAGAACAACCTCCACAACTACTTCTTCTCTTATTACGAAGAAAACCTCCAATCAGCTCTTGCCACGTTACCTATCTCCTTCCTTCACTTCCACAACCGTCCGCTTGTTTTCGATATCCATATGCCAAGTAAATTTTTCAGTATAATTGTGTGCGTGTTTTTTTTTAAGTTTGTAGTGAGTGATTTTGGATCCACAGTCTACAATTTACACAAAATAATCTCTGCATTTTTAAAAATTCAAGAAAAATCGCGCAAAAGTATAAGAAGTACTAATAGAGATTAAACCTTGACATAGAGAACACCATCAATCGAAATGCTAACATTGTCTCTAGTAATGGCAGACTGGTTAGGTATCGGAAGAGTCTCTTCCTTGAGCGAATGGGCATACGCAATTCGATCAAAAAGTGAATTCACGGAGTCGATGCTTTCACATATTTTCTAAAACGTTCAACTACATATGCTTTTTTCTCAGGCTACGAATTCCCAAATTCATCGGCACCCGAATGTGATACCTTCATCACAAAAAAAATAAAATCTTTAAAGACATAGAAAATATCTTTTAAGACCATAGGCTAATTCTGATAAGTAAGTTATAAATAAAGTTGAAAGTTGAGGACACATCGATATGATTGTAGATTAAATATAATTTGTCTTGATTATTAGAATGATATAATTTCAACTTCTTGTACTAGTACAATATAAATATACTGAACATGATTAAATAAAAATAATTGTCATCGTTATACTAATTATATAAAACAATTTTCCAAATTGGTTCTCATGATATAAGTTTCACAAATAATATTTTATATTGATTGCATCCTCTCAATTCTCTAACACACCTCATGCATCTTCACCCTCCACCCCATCCTCATCGCCCTTACTCTCCACTCTTGTCTTATTTGTTTTGATTATATATAAATACTTTAAGATAATATTATTATTTTTTATTTACATATCAAATACAAGAAAATGAATATATTATCCACTTATTTTTTTGAAAAATTATTTTCCTGAAAAACATTTCTCCCAACGAATACACCACAGCAGATTAATCTCAAATTGCATGAATCTAAACCTTTATTGAACCATAAATAAGTATGATTTGGTATAAACACAACTATTTTTTTAAGAAAAAAGAGAGAAGTATTGAAAACATGACTCCCGAACTTGACACAAATTATTCATTTCATTCCCGAATTATTGACAGCCTTAAAAACACTATCTACTCGACTAACTAAACTTAGATACATATTCCACGGTCTGCCACATGACATAACAAGTGGTGTCAAACTCTAAACTCTTGTAGGAGCATAGAGCTCTTAATAAAAAGTCGAGAGAAGTGTTGAGAACATCCCCAAACTTGACGAGAATTTAGGGGTGTATTTCAGTCATGCATGTTGCAAGATCGAGGGTGTATATTTAAGTTTAGTTTGTCAAGTAAAGGAGTATTTTTAAGACTGACAATATTTCGAAAATTAAACTGATAATTCACATCAAATTTCGAAATGTTTCCAATACATCTTTCGGGAAAAAAATGTGGAGATTATTTCAATTAATAGTGCTAAATTTCGTTGTAGCATTTTGAAGAAGTCTCCGTCATCTCTTTTTTTTGAGAAGTTTAGTTTGTTCGAGACGTGAAACATGTAGCATGCATGTTGATTTATCAAAAGCAGAAAATTAAATTATTGAAAAATTGGAATCAGTTGATAAGTGCCAAAACTAAATAAAAAGAAGGAACAGATGTGTCCGACTCCTAATTTGAGATGGAGTAACAACCGTACCAATCTGTTTTTCAGTTAAAAGTGTATTTTTATTAACCTTTATTGGATGGTTGTTACATATCATTTAATAATGTTTGGTATTTTATTATATTATATTGTACTGTTTAAAAAAATATAATGTTTGAATAAATTATGTTATTTTTCGTCGTATATATAATGTCACATACCAATAATCAAATATGAAGTAGAACTATATATATTAGAAAAAAATATAGCTGGGTAAAGAATAATTAGGACTATTATAAGCAAGCACAACATAAAATGAAACTTTTCATATATCGTTACATAACATTAATAAATTTTACAATAAGGTACAGTAAAATTTAAAAAGCATTAACGATGATGAATTAAAAAAAAATCGTGGTGGACGTATGGGTGGAGTACAATGGAGCTATTTTATATGTCACTGAATTAGAAATGGATTTGTTGTCCAGAATCTAATTCTTTTAGTCACCTCAATTTATATGACATAGTATATTTGACTAAAAATATGTGTTTATATATATAAAAAAAATTATAATTTAAAATATATCATTAATATTTATATGACTATAAAAACATGATATTTGGTTTTTCTTCTAAGCGATGGTTTGCCCCTGGCATGTACGTACTATATGATAAGTTCACGTAACATATATTCCAGATAAATTCCTAACCTTTTCCTGCCAGCTTCTTGCTAATTATGCTCAATATTCCTTGCGTATATGTGACTAGTTATTTTTCTGCCTAAATTTGCTGTAACAATGTGAATACGTGAATAATAGTAACATTTGAATAACGAATAAGTCTCAAGTCCTTTCGGTACGGAGTCGTCTTTATTAAGGGGTGCTTTATTTTCACTGTGAAATTTTCTGTTGCGAATTCAGACTCCAATATAAATACCAAACACAAGATGGAAAACAAAAAAAAGAAGTCTCGAAATTTAACTATTTGAGTTTGAATTTCCTGATCACTATTTCAATGTTCCTCGAGTAGGTGTGACTATTTCTCTGTCTAAAATTCCTCTTACAATATGAATTGGAGAATAATAGTAACATACTTTTCTTTTGAAATTATCTTTTTTATTTCATATTTGAAATAGCGTTTTTCTTAATTTTTCTTAAAGTCTTTCTCACATAACTATTAAAATATAAGTTAAAGAGCAAAAGAGGCACCTATACGTTTCTTATTTCAAGTTAAATAACAGACATTGAAGAAGAGTATTAACTACTACTAAAACTACACCATATTTTTACTTCAATTTGCTGGATTTTCATTTCATGAAAAGTTTTTATTTTTTAAACCTAGAAAGTGTAATTCAATTTCATTTTGTTATGTATTCTTTAGTTCCATGATATTCACCTTCTTGTAGCATGTCAACTTTCTTTTTTAGTTTGGGGCGGAGCTATAAAGTAAGATATTTTTACTAAATTAACTTTAATATATATCTTGAAAAAAATATAGTTCTTTGACTCAATTTTTTGATTATATAAATTTCTTTTGATTAAATAAGGGGAAGATAGAAAAAAAACATCATTGAAGTCTTCATAATTATGTAAAACACTAATCGAAGCAAAATAAAAAATAAAAATAAAAACTTTATTTTGAAATAAAGGGAGTATGTAATGTAACAAAGTGAAAAAAGTATTGAAAAAATTAAAATAAGTTCTTTAATCTGTGAAGTGACCAAAATTATTATAACATTTTGATTGAGTATAAAAAAGTTCAAATAAGTTCTTTATTATCTGTGAATTGACCAAAATTACTATAACATTTTGATTATCCAAATGTCGTTGTCATGTCTATAATATAATTAGCTAGACAATCCAACAATACTTAGCAATTTAAATTTAATATAATTTACGAATGCTCATTTTTAGGTTTTAGACATTACAATTTCTATATTTTATCAAATTATTTGTATACACCTATTTCAATTATCATATAATTACTGGTTGATTTAGTCTTTTTATTATTATTATTTTCACATTTGTGTAAATTACACAAAATGATCAATTTTATTTTTTATTTTGTTTTCTCAACTCTACTTTTTAAATATGTATACATCATAATTTTCGGCATATAAATACAGTTATTTTCACTTTGTTATGGATGGATCATGTTCTTCTCTTTTTTCTCATATAATTTTTTTTAATGAGTTTTGTTTATCTTTAAGCTGGTTATATGACATTAAACAATTTATGTTTAACAAAAACTGAAAAAGTACTTTTTCTTTCTTCATATAATAATATATTTTATTTGTTAAAAATTAGTTCAATGTGAATATTGAATAATAAGATGAATTCAATTTTTTATCTATTTAATTGAATATGAACTAAAAACTCTTTTATATTCAAACAATATGAAAAAATTAATTTATACTTTTGATATAATATTTATGCCAAGTTACCTAGTTAGTTCATAAGCGCCAAAATTAAATAAAAAGAAGGAACAGATGTGTCCGACTCCTAATTCGAGATGGAGTAACAAGCGTACCAATCTGTTTTTCAGTTAATTAAAGTGTATTTATTAACCTTTATTGGATGGTTGTTACGTATCATTTAATAATGTTTGGTATTTTATTATATTATATTGTACTGTTTAAAAATATATAATGTTTGAATAAATTATGTTGTTTTTCATCGTATATATAATGTCACATACCAATAATCAGATATGAAGTAGAACTATATATATTAGAAAAAAATATAGCTGGGTAAAGAATAATTAGGACTATTATAAGCAAGCACAACATAAAATGAAACTTTTCATATATCGTTACATAACATTAATAAATTTTACAATAAGGTACAGTAAAATTTAAAAAGCATTAACGATGATGAATTAAAAAAAAATCGTGGTGGACGTATGGGTGGAGTACAATGGAGCTATTTTATATGTCACTGAATTAGAAATGGATTTGTTGTCCAGAATCTAATTCTTTTAGTCACCTCAATTTATATGACATAGTATATTTGACTACAAATGCGTGTTTACATATATAAAAAAAAATTATAATTTAAAATATATCATTAATATTTATATGACTATAAAAACATGATATTTGATTTTTTCTTCTAAGCGAAGGTTTGTCCCTGGCATGTACGTACTATATGATAAGTTCACGTAACATATATTCCAGATAAATTCCTAACTTTTTCCTGCCAGCTTCTTGCTAATTATGCTCAATATTCCTTGCGTATATGTGACTAGCTATTTTTCTGCCTAAATTTGCTGTAACAATGTGAATACGTGAATAATAGTAACATTTGAATAACGAATAAGTCTTTATTAAGGGGTGCTTTACTTTCACTCTGGATTTTCTGTTGCGAATCCAAATTTAGTCAGACTCCAATATGAATATCAAACACAGGATGGAAAACAAAAAAAAAAGTCTCAAAATTTAACTATTTGACTTTGAATTTCCTGATCACTATTTCAATATTCCTCGAGTACGTGTGACTATTTCTGTCTAAAATTCCTCTTACAATATGAATTGGAGAATAATAGTAACATACTTTTCTTTTGAGATTATACACGGTAGTATTATATATTTTTTAAAATACCTATTATAAAAGATTTCGAATGTAAGTTCACACACATAATATTTTGAATGTGTGTGAACTTACATTCGAAATATTATATAATGCAATAATAATTGAGTGCATCTTTTAAAGTGAGGTTAGAAATTTCAATGTTATATCTATCTTTTTTCTTTCTTTATAAAATTGGATAACACCTCTCTAAGTGATTACTCTCTCCGTCCACTTTTAATTGTCATGGTTTCCTTTTTTAGAGTCAAACTATAAGAACTTTGACTAACATTTTACGATATATTTTTTATCATATTGATATGCAAGAAATTGTAATTTATAGTACTTTTCGTATAGTTTTTGAATATCTTAATTTTTTTTATTTAAATATCGAATTAATGTAATTTAATTTAACTTTGAAAATTCGTCAAATTGACTTTCGAAAAATGCAACATGATGACAAATAAAAGTGAACAGAGATAGTATTAATTAGCATATTTGCCATTTTAATTAATTAGTCATATTAGAATTCCTAAAAATAAATAAATTTAACAGTGTAATTCTTTTTCTATAGTTACAACCAAATATGTATATTAAAAGTAATAGTACTAGATTACATAATATACCATCAATGGATTCATCAACCAACATAAATATATTCTACACGAAATCATAAATAAAATTATTTTATTTTAATAGATAAAATTTGGTTTTGCGCCTACAATTTGAAAAGTTCAACAAATTTTGTGACAAGAACTATTAAAAATCAAATTTATCTTTTATATCCTTGCCCATTTTTATAATAATGAATTCATCCTCTCAAGTTTTTGTATGCACCTTTGGAGATACAATCACCACCATCAGATCGATCACGCACACTGAACCAGCAAAAGTTACGACAAAATGGTAAAAATTCATCTATGCTTAATAAAAGGTCTCAAATCCAAATTAAATACAAGTGTAGAAACGGGAAATCAGAAAAAAAAAAAAAATCATGCACCGGAAATAAGAATTAAGAAGAAGAAAAATTGATCCAATATACAAGTATGCATATATAATTTTAAAAAAATTTACAGATCAACGATAAAATTACTAAGAAGCAGGTGGTGATTGAAGAAGTTTTTGTGCGGCTGAATGTTGTTCCATTAAATTAATAACACGGGCTCTATAAGCCCGAGCTTGATCTACAGCTTCCGCCTCAAATTCACCTAGCTGAAAACAAAGGCGTTCCTCCGCCTCTTCCGCTACCTTCAGCCTCCTCCATGTTTTTTGCAACTCCTCTTTCATTTTCTCTTCTCTCTCTACGCTCTTCTTCAATTCCTTCTCCAGCTCTTCGTTTCTCTTTCTAAGCACCTCCGCCTCCGGTACGCCGGAGATTTCACCGACGGGAGGTTTCGATTGGGCCCAGAAAGGTAGTGCTATAGTCGGAGCCATTTTTGATACGATAGCTTTGAATTAATTTAATTTTAATTTGCTCCAAATTAGGATACAGGGACAAAGGTAGCTAGCTTTGTTTTGTGGTTTGGAACTAATGCAAAAAAACTGTGGAGTTGGACTGGGTTTTATACACAGCGAGTATGTCCAGGTTCAATGTATCTGTCACACTTCTAGAGACAAAAATACTTGTACTTTGATACGCTTATTTTATCATAATATTTAAAATAAATAATTAATGTCAAAAATAAAATATTGAAGAAAAATTATTTTTAATATAGTGAGTAAAACTAGGGATAAAACTGTGCGGGTGTATACACCAATTTAGTACATTCATGCCATGTGTTTAAATTTACAATTTATTTCATTTAATCTTAATTAATTAACATATATTTTATTTCATATCACGTAATAATAAAAATTACATTAATTTAATATATACACCCAATACGAATAAGTTTTTTACTTAGAAAAACTAGTACTAAGACAACCGACTCCATTATGCATCAACCAACAATAATGTGTGCGTCATTGGACACGTAAACAGTGTGAAAATGCAGCCATGCTCTCACCGCAATTTTCACGACTCTCACACTCTTCTTCCTTTCAATATACATCTTGTCATATATACTATGGAAGGTTTATTTTTTAAAATGATATTTAATTTTTGAGAAATATCTAATAAATAAGATTAATTCAATAAATTATATTTTAAATTTATTGTTTTTCTTAATAAACTTAAAATAAGTAAAAATGACATTTATTTTGAAATAATAAAAGTAATTTATACGAAAACATTTGAATGAATATAAAGTTTTGAAAAAGCACAGTAGCGCATAACTAAAGTTAATGTTAGATTATGATCATAAACATATCATGATAAGATAATTTTATAGTTATATTTAGGTAGATATACATAAAATACTCATGTATTATATTAAGCTTGTGACTTATTTGCTTGTATTTATTCACTAATATCCCATGATTATTAGTTGATTTTACTCTATTTTTGACAATAATATAATCTTAAAATGTCCTAATATGACTTGTTTTCTTCGTATATAAGAAGATCGAGAAAACACACCTTTTATTTAATTAAAATCTAAATATACTTAGTTAAGTATCACAAAAGCTAAAAATAAAATTATCAGGAAACAAAAGAATCAAAAGTGCCCAAAGAAACTACCACATAAAAAAGTTCTTTTATTTTATTTATCTTTCCACATCTTAAACCTATCATAATATTTCTACAATTATATTCAGTTAGAACTAAGAAGTACATAAAAGTTAAATCATTTACACTACATATATAATAAAAATAATTTTTAACGACAATAAATATACAAATTAACAAATATTGCTAAGTCTTTATCGACATTAGTTAATTGTCATTAAATCTAATATTATTATAGACTTTAGAGACACTTACAAAGAATGCTAATTGCCACTAAACATATATATTTAGCGATAATTAAGTTATTAGAGAACATTTGTGGTGTAGTATTCTATCGAAATTTCGTAGGATATAACATCCAAAAATAATGGACTCTAGAAGGATGAGTACTATCACTAACACAAATGTTTCCCCAACGGCAGACACTTACCTACATGATTATTATAACAAATCAAATTAATTAATTAGTAAATCATTGTTAAATATGCTAAATATTGAGATAAGAATAAAAATTATTTATATATATTAGATTAACTGAAAAGTACAGGCAATAGACCTGTTATGCACTATTTAATTTAATATAAATAAAAATTAATATTATAAATATGCATTGATTTATTAATTAATTAATTATTTAGATATGACAGCCAAAACCCACGTAGACTGGGCCTTCTTATCAAACAGCAGATTCCGCAAAGTTTGGGGAACCTCCATAATTAATGAAGTAATTAAATTAAACAAAGAGATATTACTGGAAAATTACGTCTCAAATAAAGTTTACAAGAAAATAGTTTGAATTTAGGAAACTATATCTTGTTTAATTGGATTTGAACTTTGAAATACATTCGATGACATGTTACAGTCTCACTCAACAAAAATAAATTTTAGCGGCTATAAATATACTAACAAAAAGTGTTAAAACATATCACCAAAATTAGTTAATTGTTATTGAATCAAATGTCATTATAGGCTTTATGACATTTATCAAGAATGTTAATTATCACTAAAAATATATATTTTGCTGCAGTTAAGCTATTGTTGTTAGGAATGTACATGGTAAGATAAATATCGAATATCATTTCAAAGTTGCAATTTTTAATATTATAATTTCAATATTATGGTATTTAATATATGTTTCTAAAATTTTTGGTATTGTTGTAAAGCAAATATGGATGCCATGTGGCCCCCAACAATTTTGAGGACTTACATCACTTGTAATAGTGTAAAAGCCAAGGCTCATGCCATGTGGGACTAACCCATTGGAGGGCCACCATCACTTGACCAATTAAAATGGCCAAGTTATACATTTGTAAGTCATCTTTTGGCTATTAATAGCCATTACATTTACAAAGAAATATATACGTATTGAAATACATTACTCTCTCAATTGTCCTTCTTTTAGTATATTAATTTTAGTTAGTTATTTTATAACACGTTATCAGCATGAGTCTCTGCCAGTTCAAATAAAGACTTTAAAAGCCTCGAAGGTATAAATTTTTCTTTCTTAAATAATGTCAAATATTTCTAAAACTTGAATTTCTTGCTTTAGACATATCGGGAAAAGGCTATCTATCATGGGTACTTGATGCAGAAATTCATCTTGATGCGATGGATTTGATAGACACCATCCAAGAAAAAAAATCAAGAATCGAATCAAAATCGTGCTAAGGCAATGATATTTCTCCGTCATCACCTTGATGAGGGTTTAAAATGGAATATTCACTGTTAAAGATCCTCTGATGTTGTGGACTAATTTAAAAGATAGATATGACCACCTGAAGTTGGTCGTCCTTCCACATGCACGTTATGACTGGATCCATTTGAGACTTCAAGATTTTAAATCTATCAGTGAGTATAGCTCTTTCATGTTTAAAATCATCTCACAATTAAAATTATGCGGAGAAAATATCACTGACCATGATATGCTGGAGAAAACATTTTCCACTTTCCTACCTCGAGTATGCTCCTGCAGCAGCAATACCGAGAAATGGGATTTAAAAAATATTCAGAATTAATTTCACATCTCCTTGTTGCTGAACAACATAATGACTTACTGATGAAAAACCATGAAAGTCGACTTACTGGTTCTATGCCATTTCCTGAAGTAAATACGATAAATTTTCACCAATCTAAGCGTGGAAAAGGTCGTGGCCTCAGTCGTGGCCGTGATCGAGGAAGCAATTTCAATCATGGTGATCGTCTTGCACTAAATAATAACCTTCACCACCAGCAGTGTAGAAATGTCACGACCCAACCCACTGGGCCGTGCGGGCACCTACTCTAACACCTAAGTAGAAGAACCCTCGATTCCCAATAATTAAAATATGCGGAAAATTAAGAAAACTGGCAATTAAAAGAAGTTCGTATAATATAAAAATAAACAAGAGTTTAAAGCGACTCAGAGTTCAGACTTGTAAAGTAATTAAATCCCAAAGATCTAGTCTAAATAGGTACAAGAGCTACTAAGAGTACAAAGTAAAACATAATAATGATAAAACACAGTTTCCATCATGCGGAAGGAAAAATAGAAGCTGCTGGAGGATTGCCTTCGTCTTCACCTATGAAACATCGTTGATCCTGCAACTAGACTATGCCCCAAAAAGGCATAGCAAGAGTAGTATCAGTACAACCACACGTATTGGTAGGCATCATCGATCAACCCGAATACCCACCGCATAATCTAAGAAATCAACTGGTGAAACATACAATAAGACTAATTGTTCCTCCACCCTTCCCCTTTGACTACCCTTACTCTTCCGAATTATTAACATCAACTAATTCACTTGCCTCTAATCCCTTACTTACTTCGTTCGTGATTACACCCAATCCATCAATCAATCCACTAAGGAAGTTCCTGATATACTACTACCAACCGACCAACCATTCACGTCACACCCTTACGCTTCCCTCATCTCCACTCAACTTATGACCCCATATTACGCCTATCGAGGCTTACTATCCGCTTATGTTACCACCTCAAACCTCAAATAATACCCATGACCACATTGCAAGTAACAAAGATAGCACCGGGACCCTTAGTTCCCCTTTACCATACTACAATCGAATTGGGACTCTACCTTTCACGATTTAATACACAACTAGATATATCCAGTTAACTTACAACATCGTAACCCTCACCTATAAGAGCATAATGTACAATCCACCAATCATTTCAAAACACATGTCCAATTCCACATTATCAATAATACATACAATTACACGTATAATACAAGTCAATGGCCCTCTCATGGAACCCAAGCCCAAACTGTTATTATGCCGGATCGTGGGACCTGATCCAATGCAATATGTATGTCGGTACATGACATCCAATCCCAGTTAGTGTGCCGGAACAGAGCACTCGATCCAATGCAAGTTAGTATGTTGGTACATGACATCCGATCCCATGCATCACAGTACAAGCACAATCACATCCATAACGTACAATACTCACATCATATAGTCAAGTACTTAAGTTCTTGGCATGCATTGTTCATAATCAATTCATTAGGTTACGGTTATGCTTTGCTCATACTTATGCATATCATATAGCCACCAGTCAACCTACGTCTCGAAAAATAAGAAATCACAACCATTCCCAAACCTTAATTCACGAAATAAGGCCTTTTCCTATGTCATACGTCTAAGGGAACACTTAGGGATATACGCATAATCAATCCTTTTTCGGTGCACAAAAAGCCTACGCATGAATTCTACCGTCAATTCCAACATACTACGTAGTGAATAACAGATTTATAACTACTCAATAAATAAACCTAGCATACTTTGGCGCCAAGCAGCTGCACGAAATTATAGCTCCAATTCAGATTTTCGGGCCTCGTGACGGTGGATTGACCAAGGATTTGCAAGCTATCGACCTTCTCACTCTAGAAATCTCTTCCTCTTTCT